CCCTGTTGCTATTTAAAATAAATAAATAATGGGGCCATTGGGTGGCATGGTGGTTAAGGGCACTGGATTCCCATATGACTGAGCAAGTTTGAGTCTTGGGCCTGGTGGCTTCCTTTCTCTCTCTCTCACATATACATACATTCTGTCCCTCTCTGGTCAAATTGAAATAAATAAAGTTTAAAAATTTAAAAATATAAAAGAATTATTTATCTATTTTAATTTGACAGAGAGGGACAGAGTAAGAGAGCAAGCTACCAGGACTTGAACCGCCTTCAGCCATGTGGGAGTCCAGTGTCCTTAACCACCTGTCAGCCCCTGAAGTTAAATCATTCTTTAAACATAATAAAGGGACCAGCAGTTGACATAATGGCTATGTCGCTGGACTCTCATGTAGTCCACCACAGTTCGAGTCCTGGACCCAGTAGCTTAAACTCAACGCTGGGCACATTTGCTTGCATGCCTGAGGTGGGGGGGGTGGGGGGAATGGAGAAGGGATTGCGCCATGGCCATCCCCCCTGGGGGGTGATTTCTCTCTCTCTGTCTTTCTGGTGAGTGCGCCTGCCCTGTGGCAAAAATCTCTCAATCAATTAATTAGTAATTTAAAAATGTTTTGAACTGTGGAAAGTTGTAGTAGCTTTTGATTAGCACGTAAGTCACGCTGTCTGCAGGGTATAGTTTGTCCTTTACGTTGTTGTTGTCTTTTTGTGAAAAGGTAATTGTCTGGGAATTCTTGGTAAGTCAAAGGAGAACCGAGACTCCCTAGAGGTGCAGGAAATTCTGCGGTAATCTCGTCAGGCAGTAGTGCTTCCCACAGGCCCTGGTCTTCACTCAAGTTCTTTACCACTGTACATTCTTAGGTTATTTTAAAATAGGTGGTTGTACTCTGAGTGTGTTGTTTGTGTTAGTGTGTGTGTACTCACTGCAGGGGGAGGGAAAAGTGAGAAAGCACTCCCCGCCCCAGGGAGGGCCGCGTGCAAGCACACACAGCCACTCATGTTTTTCAAGCCACCAGGCTTGGGTCTCCAGCTGAAGTCTCCCATTTGGGGTCCAGCCACCCTAAGTACCCTGTCACTGGCTGGCCCACTATTTCAAGTAATTTAGGACTTGAATATACAGACAAGTTCCACTTTTAGCAATGATTTCCAGATATAGTCAGGTTACTTCACTGATACAGGTAAATGAGAGAGATTTTCCCATTGAGGTTTTGTTTCTTGGTTTTAAAGTTTAAATATGACTTTAAGGTCAGTTTTCTGATAACTTACAAAGCGATAATGGTCAAAGTGGCTTCTTTAGTGATGATTTTTTCTTAGTTTTTTTGTCACGTGCGCTTGCAGAGAAAGAGAGAGGCGTCCTCCCCCAGGGGTTGGCCACACTGTAGTTTCTTTGGTGATTTCTCTCTCTCTGTCTTTCTGGTGAGTGCGCCTGCCCTGTGGCAAAAATCTCTCAATCAATTAATTAGTAATTTAAAAATGTTTTGAACTGTGGAAAGTTGTAGTAGCTTTTGATTAGCACGTAAGTCACGCTGTCTGCAGGGTATAGTTTGTCCTTTACGTTGTTGTTGTCTTTTTGTGAAAAGGTAATTGTCTGGGAATTCTTGGTAAGTCAAAGGAGAACCGAGACTCCCTAGAGGTGCAGGAAATTCTGCGGTAATCTCGTCAGGCAGTAGTGCTTCCCACAGGCCCTGGTCTTCACTCAAGTTCTTTACCACTGTACATTCTTAGGTTATTTTAAAATAGGTGGTTGTACTCTGAGTGTGTTGTTTGTGTTAGTGTGTGTGTACTCACTGCAGGGGGAGGGAAAAGTGAGAAAGCACTCCCCGCCCCAGGGAGGGCCGCGTGCAAGCACACACAGCCACTCATGTTTTTCAAGCCACCAGGCTTGGGTCTCCAGCTGAAGTCTCCCATTTGGGGTCCAGCCACCCTAAGTACCCTGTCACTGGCTGGCCCACTATTTCAAGTAATTTAGGACTTGAATATACAGACAAGTTCCACTTTTAGCAATGATTTCCAGATATAGTCAGGTTACTTCACTGATACAGGTAAATGAGAGAGATTTTCCCATTGAGGTTTTGTTTCTTGGTTTTAAAGTTTAAATATGACTTTAAGGTCAGTTTTCTGATAACTTACAAAGCGATAATGGTCAAAGTGGCTTCTTTAGTGATGATTTTTTCTTAGTTTTTTTGTCACGTGCGCTTGCAGAGAAAGAGAGAGGCGTCCTCCCCCAGGGGTTGGCCACACTGTAGTTTCTTTCCTCCATCCTCCTCTTGGGATTTCGGGCATGTGCATGCCCCAGTAGATTTTCTAGCCTTTGGGTCCAGGACTGGAACCGCCTTGTTAGCCATGTTGGATCTAATGCCTTAGCCACCACACCATCAGCTGCCCTCCTTAGGGCTTTTTAAAAGGAAGTAGGGGGCTGGCCTTGTGTGTTAGTGGTTGTGGGGGTTCAATCCTGTGTGTGCAGGTGCCCCGTTTGAGTCTTGGTCCCTGTGGCCTGAGAGATGGTGATACACATGTACGACCCCAGAATCCCAGCAGGGTAGAGCTGTGGCTGCAGAGTTCAGTGACCACGCCCCGTCAGGGTGTGTGTCCTCCCGGCCCAGCTCCTGTCTGTCTCTTTCTGGTAATGTTTTTCTCCCTCTCTGCCTAGCGAAGGCACCCTCTGGCAATAAAAACAAAAAGTAGGATGGAGCTTCTCATGTCCTAGTAGCTCCGTATACACCTGAAAGACCGACGGCAACGTTTCACTGAGGTGTAGTTTATGAGTATTTTCACGTCGTAGGGGACTGAAGCGAGCGCTGTGAAACTTCTCTCTGAAAGCAGTCTTAAGATTGAATGCTGACTTTTAAATCATTGAATTTAACTCATTCCTTTGATATTTTGAGTGAAGGCATTATTCATAAATTATGTCAGTGAACATTTTGCTTGCTCTTTTTTTTAATTTATTTTTTTCGGAGAGTGTGGTTTTGTTTTTTAGAAGGAGAGATTTTTTTTGCTGTAGGGTGCATGCACTCGCCAGAAAGACAGAGACAGAAAGCAAGAAATTACCCCCTGGGGGGGTGGCCACACTGCAGTCCCCTCTCCTCCATTCTCCTCAGGATCTTGGGCACATGCGTGCCCAACGTGAGTTTAAGCCACCAGGTCTGGGACTCGAACTGTGTTCAGCGACATGGCCATTACGCTAACTGCTGGTCCCTTAAGAGTTATTTTATGTAACTTTATTTATTTATTTACTTACTTACTTACTTACTTACTTACTTACTGGAGAGGTTTTTGCTGTAGGGCGCGTGCACTCGCCAGAAAGACAGAGACAGAGAGATAGAAAATGAGAAATCACCCTCCAGAGGGGATGGCCACTACACAATCCTTTCTCTGTTTTTTTTCTGGGGATCTTGTGGACATACACACACGCTCCCGGCGTGAGTTTTAAGCCTCCGGGTCCGGGACTCGAACTGTGATCAATTACATGGGAGTCTAGTGACATAGCCATTTCGCCAACTGCTGGTCCCTTGCTTGCTCTTAATGGAACCCTTAATCTGTACCAGGTGGTTACTATCTCAGGCATTCAGGAGGAAAGGTGGACTCTTGACTAAAGAGCTCACCAAGCCTTTTTCAAGAAATGGCACTTAGGGAAAATAATTTTTGTATGTCACGTCAGAGTAAACGGGAGAGGTTCCTCTCAGGCCAGGGGCCCTAGGAAATTCTTATTGCTCCCTAGCAGTCTGTCAGCGCCCCTGTAGTTCTTCTGTGGTAGACCACCTGGAAATGCAGGTTTAGGAGCACAGAATGCTCCGTCGAGACAGGCGGCTTGTACTGTTAGTGTGGTGTCCCAGGCTGCACGTAGGTTTGAGGCCGATGGAAGCATTTGGATCACAGGTCAGTTAGGCATATTATTTTTGACGAGATGATGCAGCCAGGGTTTCTGCGTTGGACAGTTTGAAAAGCTTCATTCATGCTGCACTCTTTGAGTGCTGTCACTGGGAGTTGTGTACTTCTGTTCTGGATCCAGCTTCCCTTGTATATCCCGAGAATATCCAGGTCAGGGCCATTGAATAGTTTGTATATATAAGTTTTCAGCATTTTTTTATTAGCACCATCACTGTCATTTAATGCTTGTTTGAAAAGGATGTAAAATCTCTCCTGAAGAAGGAACTACAGTCTGTTGAAATTGTTAAACGTTTTGTTTGTTTGCATTTTGCTGTTAGCTGTATAAGCTCTCCGGAGAGAGACAAATGGAGAGAGAGAAAGTGAGAAGTTATGGGGGGGCGGGGCAGTATGGCCACACCACAATCTCTTCTGCTCTATTTTCCCCTCAGGATTTTGAGCATGTGCGCGTATGCAACCGGCATTTTTAAGCCAGGGGTCCAGGACTCAAGCCTAGTCCACCGTGTGGGAGTCCAGCACTGTAACTTCCATGCCACCTGCTGTTCCCTAAATTGTTAAACATTATAAAAATAAAGTTTTTCTATCCCTTGATGTGATGATCAAGGGAGTAGAGCAAAAATATCTTTTTTTAAAAAAAATTATTTAATTTTATTTATTCATTCATTTTATTTTTTAAATTGGCCAGAAGGAAAGAGAGAGAGAGATTTAGAGAGGGAAAGCGAGAAAACAAGCCACCAGGTCCAAGATTCAAACCATGGTCAGCCATGTGGGAGTTCAGCACCTTTATCCACCACACCATTTGACGGCCCCAGCAAAAAATATCTTTTGAGATCACTGTATTATTTTAGTTTTTAGTTCTTTATAAATTAAATCAGCTTATATTTATTTTTAGGACATTATTAATTATGTAAAACAAGTATAAGTTGAAACAAATCCTGTATAAACTGGGTTATGAACAATTAAGCCGAAGTAATTTGTACCTATTTTTTAGTTGTTAGGCTAGAGTGTTTTCATTCTGAATTTCTAGGCGTGGCTTTCTCAAAAGGCTTACAGGGAGATGGTATATGGTTTCAAAAGGTTTTGATTCTTACTGATGCCTTGTGTTTTTTCTGTCTAAAGTGTCAACCGAAGAAAAAGCCTACACCGCTGAAGTATGAAGTGGGAGATCTCATCTGGGCAAAATTCAAGAGACGCCCCTGGTGGCCCTGCAGGATATGTTCTGACCCGTTGATTAACACACACTCAAAGATGAAAGGTGCGCTGGACGTTGGTTGTGCTCCGTGAAACGCATTGTGGGACTGGAGACTTGCAGTTGCTGTTTTGTAGCCTTCAGTGATAATCACCCCCCAGCGCCTTGTGAATGAATTGTTAATAGCATATTTATCTTTATGACTTTTTGTTTGTTTAAATTTCCCTATCTTGAAATGCCAAATTCTTTTTTTAAAAGAATATTTTATTTAAATTTATTTATTTATTTAAATTTGACCAGAGAGGGACAGAGAGAGAGAGAGAAGAAAAGTGAGAAAGCAGGCTACTATGTCCGGGATTCGAACCACTTTCAGCCATGTGGGAGACTAGTCCCTTAGCCATCATGCCACCTGCCAGCCCCTTGAAGTGTCATATTCTACCTTTCCTACAAAATTAAAATGTTTCACTGAACTCACTCTTTCACATCATCTGACTTACAGTATCTATAAAGTTGGGATCAAATTACTTACCCTGAGGTTGGTTGTTATGAGAAATAAATGTAGCAGTAGCTAGTCCATGAGTGTCACCATAGCACGTGGCACTGTCGAAGCATCTCTTCCTCCTTATGTTTTCACATCGTGCTTTTAGGCCTTCCTTGGTGTTTTTAGGTTTGTTGCTGCAGTTTGTTGCATGTCCTGTGTTTTCCAACAGTAAGACCATAATAGACAAGTAATTGAAGGAACCTTCTTTTATGATTAGCTAATCTATCTTTTAACTGGTTTTGAATGTATGCCATGTTACTAAACTGTTGATTCTTTTATAAATCCTTAAGTATTTTGCCATATAAATTCAATATTTAAAATTTTCCTTGTATGTGACCTACTTGAGACCATCTAGTCTCGCCAGTATGTTAGCATGTTCATTGCCTGTAAACAGGCTTTTTTGTAAGAGTGCTGTGGCTCTTCTTGTTTATACTACTCAGTTTTCTTAATGATGCTGGCTCTCACCCTTATGTAGTTTCCAACCGGAGGCCCTATCGGCAGTACTACGTAGAGGCTTTCGGAGACCCTTCAGAGAGGGCTTGGGTGGCTGGAAAAGCAATCGTCATGTTTGAAGGCAGACATCAATTTGAAGAGCTACCTGTCCTTAGGAGAAGAGGGAAGCAAAAAGAAAAAGGATATAGGCATAAGGTAAGAAGAAATAAAGGAATATGGTAAGTCTGAGAAAATAGTTAGCAGATTTTTTTGTTTCCAGGAATAAGCTGGAGCTAGCTTTCCATATATTTATACTCAAGTTTTTGTTTTGTTTTGTTTTTTTGTTTGTTTGTTTGTTGTTTTTGAGAGTTTTTGCTAGAGGGCACGTGTGTTCGCCAGAAAGACAGAGACAGAAAGTGAGAAATCACCCCCCAGGGGATTGGTCACGCCACAGTCCCTTCTCCTCCATTCTCCTCTCGGGAGAACTCTCACCCGGCATGAGTTTAATCCACTGGGTTCAGGACTTGAACCACAGTTGACTACATGGAGTCTAGTGACATAGACATTACTCCAACTGCTGGTCCCTTTTTATACTCAAGTTTGGGGAACCAGCAGTTAGCGTAATGGCTATGTCGCTGGACTCCCACGTAGTCAACCGCAGTTTGTGTCCCGGACCTGGTGGCTTAAAACTCACGCCGGACGCGTGTGCGTGCGTGCCCAAGATCCCGAGAGGAGAATGGAGAAGGGATTGCGGCGTGACCATCCCCGCTGGGGGGTGATTTCTCGCTTTCTGTCTCTATGTCTCTCTCTGTCTGTCTGGTGAGCGCACGCGCCCTACAGTGAAAATCTCTCCAAAAAAAAAAAGTTATACTCAAGTTTGAGAAATGATTTTAGCGTTCTCTGACATGTAATCTGAGAAGTGTCAATACAGCATGAAATGACTGATCTCTTTTTGGTGATCATTACAGTGAAATATTCTACTTCTCATCTTCTGGATTTATTATTTCTCTTACAAATGAAAAGATGAGGCTGTTAGGTTTGTCAGTATTTAAGTTTGTGGTCTCAAACCTGGTTGCATTTTAATCGTGAACCTTGTGGTTTTCATTTCCTTCTTTCTTTCTTTATTTTTTTTTAAGAGGTTTTTGCTGTAGGGCAC